TAGCTATTTAGCTAGCGAATGTAAGCTATCTTGCTAACTAGTGAACGTTAGCTATCTATCTTACAAACTTTATTCATCTATTGCAACCCAGTCTCACAGCATTTTGTGTTATAGTCACAAAATACATCTAATCTATTGATTCGTGTTCACCAACACCATTTTCCCCTTTTTTTCGTGTCACACAGAACGATTTTAAAAGCAATGTATTTCTATTGGTAGTATGTTTCGTGCCTGCAGCACGTCTTTTTGTCCGGTCGGGTCTTGGAAGACCGGAAGCTGTGGGGTTCATAAAAACATTTTCTTACTCAATATCAAGCCACGATTATTGTTTTTATTTTAAATTGTATAATGTCTGACTTTTTTTGCTGTCTGTGAGGAAAAGAAATGTCTCAGAGCCTCAGAATACTGAAATCTATATTTTTTTAAATATTTTTTTCCTTCTAAGTTGTAATTATTTAGATTGCTTTTAAAATAGTGTTGGTGAACACGAATCAATAGATTCATTTTGTGACTATAACACTAAATGCCGTGAGACTGGGTTGTCTATTGGGGAACGTTAGCTATCTACTTAACCTACTAGCTAACATTCGCTATCGTTCTACGTCAGGGGTCTCAAACTCAAGGCCCGGGGGCCAAATCCGGCCCGCGACTTCATTTTATGTGGCCCCGCAAGAGCTTGCAAAGAATATAATAAGTTTATTATACCGGTTGAATGCCACTTTACAGAAGCAGGTTGCCCATAAACTACATGTCCCACAATGCATCTCGTTTTGTGACATGCGCACTGAAGAGACCTGGACTTCTGCTTTCAGACGTAGTTAATTACTAAGTTATTATCCTATCCGATAATAATCCAATTCAGAGGCAATAATGTAATACATCATTTTATATTTATATGATATATTTATATCGTTACAACCGGCCCTTTGAGTGCAACCTTTATGCGAATGTGGCCCGCGATGAAATTGAGTTTGACACCCCTGTTCTACGTAGATAGCTAGCTTACATTAGCTACCAATCAAATAGCCTAGCTAGCTTTTTATCGCCAAATTGGTGGCTCTCATAATTTAAATTAGAGTTATTATTTAAACATTGTTGAACATTTTGATATAGCAAGCAGCTATCTCGAAACATCGCTGTCAATTGTCAAATATGCGTTATTCGGTGAACTTAGCACCAAATTGTTATTTTGTCTCCTGAATAACTCAATAACAGTACATTTAAAAGCTTCTGAATAGTTTATTTGGAAAGTAAAGGGAGATAAAGCTGGCAACACTATGCTAATTTATTTATTTAACAGGGACAGTGCACATTAATGAACATTTCTGTAAACGTGCCAGAGTTAGCCAAGAGGCTATTTTTCATCTGTAGTCTGTAATTAATATCAATAATGCTCAAACTGGAAGTACCAACACAAAATAAGGTGAACATGTGAAAGCGTTGGCGAAGCATAAGGTGAATAGTTGTGAGGAAAGACTTCCTCAAGAGGTGACAATGTCTTTGTGAACAGATGTAGACAAAACAGATGCCAACCAGTAGAATAGAAATGTGGAGGAGAGCAGATAAAAGGTGGAAAGAGGCAGAGAAGAAGTTAGTAATTATAAGAGGCAGGGGGAACAAATGAATCAGCATTACTGCAGTTGAATAATGCAACAGGGGAGCTTGCAAACACACAAATGTACAGAGGACAGGGGTTGGTGGATTTCCAGGAAAGAAGCTAGCTAGCAGGGACACAGAAAGAGAACATCTGTGGCTTATGGAAATGGCTCGTGTTCAAACAACTCACGCTGCATTTCAATCGACTCACCGTTAGCTATAAGGAAACAACACCTCGGAAAACCTTTCTTTATGTACAACCGGAAATACCTACAGAGTGTTAGCTTGCTTTATTTATTCCCAGACAGAGTGTGTATTCCCTACCTTAAAATGTACGGAAAGTTGAAAAGCAAAACGAGAAACAAGTTAAAGGTCCCATATCGTGGCCATTTCTACTGATCCTAATTCCATCGTTGAGGTCGACTAGAATAGATTTACATTGTTCAATGTTCCAAACTCACATTGGTTTCTCACAGCATCTCTGTAGAGTCTGTGTATTCACTCTCTGTCCTAAACGGCTTGTTGGAGCTCCTGCCCCCCCCCCCCTGTGAGCCCAGTGTGCTCTGATTGGTCGGGACGTTGCAAGGCTCGTTGCTGCTGCGAGGAGCGGACACCGGGTCGGCGATACAGCGGGACAGCACGAAACTCATCCTGAGCACACAAACACTCACAGCCGAAGTAAAAACAATAAGTGTGGCTTGATGTTGAGAAAGAAAAAGGTTTATAACGCTGTGAGAATCTGCGGAGAGCTTTTATCCGCCACCCCAACTCGTCTATTACCAACCAGGGAGCTCCATGCAAGTCAATGGGACTCCCTGTTGGTTAGCCAAGGGGTCCTGATGTGTGAGGGGCTCCGCAGATTGGTCCATTCGGGCCAATCCGGTCATTTGTTGTTGATCTGGGAGTTCACACGTCACAGAACCCAGGAAGTAAACAATGGAAATGAGAAATGTCCAACGAGGCGTTCTGGGGCAGCACAGACAGGTCTTCTCTGTGTTAGAGTTGTACTCGCTACAGGGTGCACTTTGAGGGTTTGTGACTCTGCAGACCGTTCACATGCAGAACAACCTTCATAACACAAGGGGACGGGTCATAAACGGAAAAGCATGACATGGGACCTTTAACTTTCAAACGCCGCAGATCTGTTTCTTATTCTCGTCACTTATTCAGCAAACAACAAAAAGTGCTTCAGTATGGAGATTATGTTTTTCTTCAAGTATTGAATGCCATACCATACAAAGAAAAAAGTGTCATTTTTAATTTGTACCAGTGAAGTGGTTTTGAATGTCACATCCACTTTATGAATACAAATGCATTTTCCTTGACGTGTGGAACGGCGCCGGGGAAACGAAAGTCAATTTCTTTATAAATGTTGAGGGTCAGAGAAAAGGTGGGAACAGAAGACGTTATCTTTATTAGAGGAGGTGTGTGTTGTGTTTGTGCTCAGCCTGAAGCGGTTTGGATTAACAGAAGTACAGCGTGAAGGACAGACTGCGGTCAAAATACACTTCTTTCAATATGTGTGCAGGAGGTCTTCCATGAAAACAACAAATAAATGCAGAAAAAGCTACTTCCTTGACTTTATAGCTCCACAAAGAGTGCATTCAAGATCAATGAACACCAGTTTATACTCATATTTAAAAGAAAACAGTCACTCTGGAGAGTACTGAAGTGTGGAGTGTCTCTACTTTAAAGAGTCCTCTCCTGCTGATGTTCAGGTGTATATCAGTATGTAGTGTCTCTACTTTAAAGAGTCCTCTCCTGCTGATGCTCAGGTGTATATCAGTATGTAGTGTCTCTACTTTAAAGAGTCCTCTCCTGCTGATGTTCAGGTGTATATCAGTATGTAGTGTCTCTACTTTAAAGAGTCCTCTCCTGCTGATGTTCAGGTGTATATCAGTATGTAGTGTCTCTACTTTAAAGAGTCCTCTCCTGATGATGTTCAGGTGTATATCAGTATGTAGTGTCTCTACTTTAAAGAGTTCTCTCCTGCTGATGTCCAGGTGTATATCAGTATGTAGTGTCTCTACTTTAAAGAGTCCTCTCCTGCTGATGTCCAGGTGTATATCAGTATGTAGTGTCTCTACTTTAAAGAGTCCTCTCCTGCTGATGTCCAGGTGTATATCAGTATGTAGTGTCTCTACTTTAAAGAGTCCTCTCCTGCTGATGTCCAGGTGTATATCAGTATGTAGTGTCTCTACTTTAAAGAGTCCTCTCCTGCTGATGTTCAGGTGTATATCAGTATGTAGTGTCTCTACTTTAAAGAGTCCTCTCCTGCTGATGTTCAGGTGTATATCAGTATGTAGTGTCTCTACTTTAAAGAGTCCTCTCCTGATGATGTTCAGGTGTATATCAGTATGTAGTGTCTCTACTTTAAAGAGTTCTCTCCTGCTGATGTCCAGGTGTATATCAGTATGTAGTGTCTCTACTTTAAAGAGTCCTCTCCTGCTGATGTCCAGGTGTATATCAGTATGTAGTGTCTCTACTTTAAAGAGTCCTCTCCTGCTGATGTCCAGGTGTATATCAGTATGTAGTGTCTCTACTTTAAAGAGTCCTCTCCTGCTGATGTCCAGGTGTATATCAGTATGTAGTGTCTCTACTTTAAAGAGTCCTCTCCTGCTGATGTCCAGGTGTATATCAGTATGTAGTGTCTCTACTTTAAAGAGTCCTCTTCTGCTGATGTTCAGGTGTATATCAGTATGTAGTGTCTCTACTTTAAAGAGTCCTCTCCTGCTGATGTTCAGGTGTATATCAGTATGTAGTGTCTCTACTTTAAAGAGTTCCTCTCCTGCTGATGTTCAGGTGTATATCAGTATGTAGTGTCTCTACTTTAAAGAGTCCTCTCCTGCTTGATGTTCAGGTGTATATCAGTATGTAGTGTCTCTACTTTAAAGAGTCCTCTCCTGCTGATGTTCAGGGTGTATATCAGTTTGTAGCGTCTCTACTTTAAAGAGTCCTCTCCTGCTGATGTTCAGGTGTATATCAGTATGTAGTGTCCTCTACTTTAAAGAGTCCTCTCCTGCTGATGTTCAGGTGCATATCAGTAATGTAGTGTCTCTACTTTAAAGAGTCCTCTCCTGCTGATGTTCAGGTGTATATCAGTATGTAGTGTCTCTACTTTAAAGAGTCCTCTCCTGCTGATGTTCAGGTGTATATCAGTATGTAGTGTCTCTACTTTAAAGAGTCCTCTCCTGCTGATGTTCAGGTGTATATCAGTATGTAGTGTCTCTACTTTAAAGAGTCCTCTCCTGCTGATGTTCAGGTGTATATCAGTTTGTAGCGTCTCTACTTTAAAGAGTACAAAGTCAGGATTCTGAGAAAAAGGTCAGACCAGTGAGATTTTTCTAACACTTTGCCTCTTGTGATTCCTCCTCTCCTCTCCTCCCCTCCCTTCCCCTCTTTAGCCCAGAACTGCTCGGGTGTCCGGACGTGTGCAGAGTGTCTGGAGAGGACAGAGTGTGGGTGGTGTGGAGACCCCAGTAACACGGGGAGGGGGGTCTGCATGGAGGGGTCGTACAGGGGTCCTCTGAAGCCTGCCGTGCCCAGAGCAGGGCCTCGAGACCGGGAGAGGCTCAGAGACAGAGACATGGTCCTGGATCAGAGCCTGTGTTCCTCTGACAGAGGGTTCAACTGGGCCTTCATTCAGTGTCCTGGTGAGTGAAGCATCTGGGAGAGAGGAGACATGATCATGAGTTCATCATAATAATAACAATATGTCAACAATTAAGATGTTCTTTTCTTGAGACTGCTGTATAAACGGCACCAACAATAAACCTAAGCAGCTATTATATTGCACTTAGTGTACCTAACAATCAGCTGAGTGTATCTTGTGTGTGTGTGTTGTGTGTGTGTGTGTGTGTGTGTGTGTGTGTGTGTGTGTGTGTGTGTGTGTTCCCTGCAGCGTGTCAGTGTAACGGCCACAGCAGGTGTGTGAACGGCAGTGTGTGTGAGCGCTGTGGGAACCTGACGGCCGGCCTTCACTGCCAGAGCTGCATGCCGGGGTACTACGGAGACCCCACCAACGGGGGGAGGTGCAACGGTGAGAATTTGTTTAATTCCGGAACACAGTGACATCAATACACTCGCGCTCCTATTGGCTAGCGCTCCAACACATTGTACGTGATAGGCTAAGGGGCGGGACATCTCTAAGCAGGTTGACCAATCACAACAGAGCCGGCCAGCTAACTAATCAGAGCAGACTGGGCTCTGGTTTCAGACAGAGGGTGAAAAGAGTGTGAGAAAAATAAAGAGCTTTTTGAACATCAAAGCATGGAGACTCGTCCTCTTTGAAAGTTATACCCTCTTCTAGTTTTCTAGAACACAATTTGGGTAAAAGATAATGTCTCTGAGAAAAATGGTTAGGGTTAATTTTGTAGAGCTCAATAATCACATAATTACAATAAGAATAAGTCACAACAGAAAGAGACTTTTTACAGCAGGATTTTGAGAGAAAGTCAGGATTTTGAGAAAGTCAGGATTTTGAGAGAAAGTCAGGATTTTGAGAAAGTCAGGATTTTGAGAGAAAGTCAGGATTTTGAGAAGGTCAGGATTTTGAGAAAAAGTCAGGATTTTGAGAGAAAGTCAGGATTTTGAGAAAACGTCAGAATTTTGAGAAAATGAAATGTGAGAATTTTGATATTTTGAGAAAAAGTGAGAATTTTGAGATTTTGAGAGAAAGTCAGGATTTTGAGAAAGTCAGGATTTTGAGAAAAAGTCAGGATTTTGAGAGAAAGTCAGGATTTTGAGAAAATGTCAGAATTTTGAGAAAATGAAATGTGAGAATTTTGATATTTTGAGAAAAAGTGAGAATTTTGAGATTTTGAGAGAAAGTCAGGATTTTGAGAAAGTCAGGATTTTGAGAAAGTCAGGATTTTGAGAAAAAGTCAGGATTTTGAGAAAGTCAGGATTTTGAGAAAGTCAGGATTTTGAGAAAAAGTCAGGATTTTGAGAGAAAGTCAGGATTTTGAGAGAAAGTCAGGATTTTGAGAAAATGTGAGAATTTTGAGAAAATGTGAGAATTTTGAGAAAATGAAATGTGAGAATTTTGATATTTTGAGAAAAAGTGAGAATTTTGAGATTTGAGAGAAGTCAGATTTTGAGAAGTCAGGATTTTGAGAAAGTCAGGATTTTGAGAGAAAGTCAGGATTTTGAGAAAGTCAGGATTTGAGAAAAA